CTTCTCCTTCTCCTTCTCCTTCTCCTTCTCCTTCTCCCTCTTCTTCTCTTCTTCTTCTTGTTCATCTTTTTCTTCTTCCTCCTCCTCCTCCTTCTTCTTCTTCTCTTCTTCTTCTTCTTCCTCTTCTTTTCATCTTTTTCTTCCTCCTCCTCTTTCTTCTTCTTCCTTTTCTTCTTCTTCTTCCTCCTCTTCCTCTCCTCCTCTTCCTTCTTCTTCCCCTTCACTTTCTTTTTTTGACTGCGTCTGGCTCTGTCACCAGGCTAGAGTGCAGTGACATGATCTCGGCTCGCTGCAACCTCCGCCTCCCTAGTTCAAGTGAGTCTCCTGCCCCAGCCTCCGGAGTAGCTAGGACTACAGGCACACCTACCACGCTGGCTGTTTTTTTTGTATTTTTAGTAGAGGTGGTATTTTTAGTAGAGATGGGGTTTCACCACGTTGGCCAGGATCGTCTCCATCTCTTGACCTCATGACCCGCCCGCCTCAGCCTTCTAAAGTGCTGGGACTACAGGAGAGAGCCAACGCGCCCCTCCACTCGCAGCAGAAGTTTACTAGGCAAAAGAAAGAAAAGGGCAAAGCTCTCTCTCCTGAGAGAGAGATGCTCCAGTGGAAATTCACTCCGTCAGTGGAGCGCACGGGGTTTTACAGACAGGCTTAAGAAGTCAGTGTCTGATTTACGGAGAGCTCACAGATTGGTTGACCAGGTGTGACATTTACACAGTGCATTAGGAAACTGGCCACTCCAACTTAATCTTTCATTATGCAAATGGAGTCCCTGCTTGGCCAGCCAAGTGCACATGGTTGATAAGGAAAGGGGAAGACGGAGCGGCCATGTTGAATGTCTCTAGGCTCAGGTAGCCTTTTCCTATTGGCACAATTGCAGTGATTCACACATGCAAGCTTCCAGCTTGCTTATCTATGTCTGCAGGTTGCTTTCACAAGCTGCTCATTGTTAGAAAATAAAATAATTTGGGGGCTGCTTTTCATTAAAAGGAAAACCTTACTATCTGCCTGAATAATTTCTTCTTAACTTCTATATCATAATTTTCTGTCAATAAGTATCTTTCCATTTTTTAAATAAACAGTATCTTAATTTTTTTTTTAATTCACAACAAACTATTTAATTAAGATAGTTAAATCTTACATGATAACTATGCATTTGCATTTATAAGATTGGTCTATAATTTCTTTTCCTTCTTTCTCCTTATTCTGTTTTTATGGGATTGTATGAGTCCCAACAAAATAAGTTGGCAATTTGTCCTCCTTTTGATTTTTGTGACTATTTGTTTAATGTTTTTAAAAATTATTTGGAGGGGTGGATTTGTCTCTAAAAATGTTTGGGCATGAGATTTTTTTGAGTCTATTAAAATTTTTCTGTTGCTTTTTTTTTTTAACCAAATTTTGCCATTCTCAATTTTCAGAAATGTAACAATTGTGTGTTATTTTAAAATGTATTTTCTACAATCTTTATAACATGCTTTAAAATTTTAATATTTTGATATTCCCTTTATTCTTTATATATTTTTCAAATTTCTCATTCTTTTAATAAGTTTTCTACTGGTTCCCTTTTAGTCTTTTCAAATCAAAAAACTTAATTTTATTCAATTTCTCTAACTTTCTTTGTTCTTGATTTTGCTGATCTTTACTTTATGTCATATGATTTATTTCCTTCTTGTTTAATTATGTTTATGTTGGCAATGTTTTCCCAATTCCTTGAGTTAAATGCTTAGCTCATTTAATTTATTTCTTTTTTTCCAACAAACGCATTTTGTTATAAATCCCTCCGTAATATTGCATTTAGATAATAAGTATTTCCATTGTATTATGTTCTAGACATCATAAGATAACAACATTTCTAATTTTTTGATCTCAAAGGTATTTAGTAATTTTTAAAAAAAGAATTCAGGGGAATACATTTTTGAACCACCTTCCAATTTGTTTTTAACACACACACACACGCACACACACACACACGCACACACACACACACAAATTTGATATATGTGAATGTGCATGTGTCTTTAAAATTAATTTATTTAACCGGAGAATAGTCAGTCCCTCAAGGTAACTATATTCATTATCTCTTTTTACAGAGGAGGAAAGTAAGGCATAGAGAAGTTATATAATTTCTCCATGCTATAGAACTAGGAAATATCAAAGTTAAATCCAATTGAATCTGGTACTTTTCAATATTGATATCCTAAAACAAAATTAACATTGAACAAAAATACAAAGTTTCTCAAAATGAAAGTTGATGAAATAATGAATAGGTAACAGTAATGAAATATGATTATGGGAAGAAATAAAAATATCTTCTTAGATGCCTCACACAAAAAACATATAGGCAGCCAATTCTGAATATTTTTGGTAGATACAAAATTAGAAACTGTGTGACCTATTTAATAAATATAAGCATCCAGGGCAACAGATATAGTTAATAACCCATAATGAGATGTCTTGTTGATTGTTTTTGCTAAGAAGACAAATTTCTAGTAAAATACCAAATCATGTCACCATTTAAATAGTAATGCTAATAATTATATTTTGAGATCTTACCTCATTGAATGATATAATTTATTTATTTCACATTTCCACTGTGGCTAAAAAAAAATTTCTTTGTTTCTATAAGGGCTCTTGATTGACATTTTTGAAATTTTGATTAATAATCAGCTTGAATGGAACAACTTAGATCATTTTTTATGGAAGGGATTTTTTGAAACAAACAAACAAACATATTTTTCTTCTATTATGCAGGTATCTGTCTTGGGAAACAAAGCATCTCCTAAATAACACTGTCAGTTAAAATTATACAATTTCCACCAAAAAAAAATAATAATAATTTCCATGGATAACTATAAGTTTCTTTTTTTTCTTTTCTTTTTTTTTATTAGTGGCTGGACTTCAGTACTTGCAATTCTTACTTAATCTGTAATCTCTGAGGTAAATAAATAACTTTAATGTACAATCTTATATGTTTTAGTTTAATATCCTAAGTATACAGATCAGAATACACTTGTGTTTGGCAGATATCAAGAAATTCTAAATTATTTCCATTCCTCACCATGCATATTAACAAATTGCAAAAAGATCATATGTAATAGCTACAAAATTTATTGTAAGTAAAAGCTTTAAATTTGGGTATGAACTCCAAAATAGAAACTATATAAAAATATAAAGTCAGAAGATCAGAGGCTACATGTGTCAAACCTAACACAAGTCTAGAGTTGTGTTAATAATTAGAACTGGAGAATTTTGGCCTTAGAAAAGTGTCTATTCACCTATCCAAAGAAAAAAAAAAAAAAAAAAAAAAAAAAAAAAAAAACACAAATGTACCTACCAACTTCCCTAAAAGTTTCCAGCTAACATCTTCTAAGCACTAGTGATTGAAAACTTGTTGAGGGAAGAAATTTTCATCATCCAGCTTGCAATGCCAAGAAGAATTTTAACATAGATAGTCCTCAATAAATAAGCTAGATTGGTAAGAAATATTTACAATACATTTATTTGACCAAAAACTTTTATTTAGAATCTTTGAAGAACTTTTACAAATCTATATTGACAAGAAAACAATCAATCAAAAATGGTCAAAAGTCATAAAGAGATACTGGATTAAAAAATCAACATGTCAAAAGTGCAATAGTCACCAGGAAATGGCAAATTAAACCAGAATGATGCTGTTTCTCACCCCCTGAAACAGTTAATTCATAAAAGACAGATACTATTAAGTATTGACAACTATATGAAATAAATGAACATCACATATATTGCTCACGGGAGGATAAAATAATACAATCACGTTAGAGACCTCTTTGACATTTTATTACAAATTTAAACATAAATCTATTCAATGCCTGAGCAATTTAACTACTAGATTTTATCAAAGAAAAATGGAAACATATATTTATTAAGAGTTATTTATTACAACCTAAAATTGGAAACACTAAATATCTATAAAGAAGAAAATGTATATATATATTGCAGTTTATTCATACAATGCATGGCCAGGAGCAGAGTAAAACAAGGAAGGTATGTGTGTGTATGCATATAAGTGTGTGTGCATGTGTGTGTATGTGTTTACATAAATGTGCATATATATAGGGACACACATACAAATATATGATATACATTTATCATGGCTAGCTACATAATTTACAGGTTGCAGAATGGAAATATGAATCCTCTTGTTCAAAAGGCAGAAAAGTGTCATTAGTGTGTTGCACAAAGCCAGTATTAAATAAGAGCATGTAGTAGAGTATGTGGAATTACTGAAATTACACAGCTCCTATTTCATAACTGAGCTATGCATATGAATTTTGTTCTTGCCAGAATGATAGAAATGTACACTAACTCAACTGTATTTATTTCATTTGGTTACAGCCATATTTAACCAATACTTACTACCTTCAGCTTACTGATTTATAAGAACTAATTGAAGGAAAAAGAACTATGGATCGCCCTATCTTTTCAATTCTTTCCCATTCGGTGTCATCATTTTTAGTATAAGATGCTGACTAATAAAGGGAAGCAAGACTCTGAAGAAAGGATACATTAGGGTTCCTTGGTTGCCTGTGTTTCATAAAATGCCATTGCCTACTTTCGGTGTTGGAAGCAAGCTCTTGTTCAAACAAAAGTGTGACCTCTTCAAGCTGTCAGCATTCCCACCTGTTCCGTCACAGACATAACATGCTTCTCCTGTACCACTTTGATTATTGTTGAACTCCCATGTATTGCAGCTCTACCAGAACTCTGTGCTAATGGAACATCACAAAAGCTAAATGTGAATGGAGTGGCAAGGAAAGACAGCAAACATACCTATTTTATGTTTCTCTTTTGCTAATGTGCGTGCTTCATTGTCCCATTGGACTTCATTTACAAATCACAAGTTCAAAGATAAAATTATCAACAATTTTCAAGATGGCAACAGCAGAAAATGAAACCAAACATAGGTCCTTCTGAACCTGGGACCATTTGAGACTATACATGTGGCATATGAAGAAACCAGCCCTTATCAGTGAATAGATAGATAGACAGATGATAGAGACATATAGAGATAGATGATAGATAGAGTGATTGATCTGCCCAAGATCAATCTGAATTGTAATTACCAATGTTGGAGGTGGGGGCCGGTGGGAGGTATTTGGATCCTGGGGACAGAATTCCCCCTTGCTGTTCTCCTAATAGTAAGTTCTCACGAGATCTGGTGGTTTAAAATGGTGTAGCACCCCCCACTTTCCTCTCTTCCTCCTTCCCTGGCCATGAAAGACCTGACTTCATCTTTATCTTTTGCTATCTGTGTAAGTTTCCCAGCCATGCTTCCTATACAGCCTGTGGAATGCCAAGCCAATTAAACCTCTTTATAAATTACCCAGTCTCAGGTAGTTCTTTATAGTAGTGCAATAGACTAATACAAACGGCAAAAGAAACTTCAGTGGAGAAACATGATGAGAAGTAATCAAAATCTGAATATATCTTCATGAGACAAAAGAGTTTTGATGTGGGTTTTTTGAGGAAAAGATAAATCAAAAATGACTCAAGATTTTTGGCCTTAGAAACTAGAAAAGTTGAGTTATTATGTAATGAAATGGCAATGACTACAGGAGGAGGTGGTTTGAGAGATGAGAGAGATCAGAAGTGCAATTTTGGATGTACTAAGTTTAAGTGCCCATTATACATCCAAGTGTAAATGTCAATTAGGCAGTTGGATATGTGAGTGTGGAGAGCAGAGAAGACATCTGAGCTGGAGATTTAATTTGAGAGTAGTCAACGTACTGGTGACATGATATTTAAAGCCATGAGAAGTGAGAAAAGCTAATGCAAGAAGTAAGTGTAGATGGATAAGAGAAAGGTGTGAGGACTGAGCCTTGGACGACTTCACTATTTAGAGATTAAAGAAATGACGTGTGACCTACAATGGAAGCTTCAAAATTAACTTTGGCAAATGACTTAATCTCTCCAAATGTTTTTCATTTAACTGTGAAATAAGGATATTGACAACTACCACTTAGGGTTGCTAGAAAATAAAAGACACAAATTTTAATTATCTAAAATATCCAGAATACACAACAAGATTGCCTTCTCACTGTAAGTGCAGTGTCTCTCTTCTCCAGTTCATTTCCCATCCTTTCCTCAAAGGTCTCAAAACAAACAAACAAATACAAAAACTTGATTATTTTATTTATTTATTTATTCATTTGTGTTACTTCTACTTGTTTTCTTAATGTTTTTCATTACTGGTCAATTGCCCAAGACAGGAAACATGATTTATTCCTCTTGGTAAGTACATTAAACACATTGCCTCACAATGAGAGTTTTTTTGTTTTTTTTTTTTCAAATAATAATTATACTCTCAGAAGTAATGTGACTTCACAGTTCTTAAGAAGTCAGGACAATCAGGAATCTGACCTGTAAGAAATACGTTTTACATTTCTTATAGTTATGTTTTCTTTAACTTGGTGAACTAAAAATAATTTGAGAATGAATTTTTCATATTTTTCTTCAGAGCTAAGAAGAGTAACAGTGAAAATTTTAAATATGATAGCACCCATGGGAAATAAGTAGCTCTTCTAACCTACTCTAAGATCTAAGTCGAAAACTAAATGTTCTCTGGCATTCTGTAAGACTTTTAAAATGTCAAGATAGCCTCCACTTCGATTATTCATAAATTTGAAGTGCCTCCATTAACATTCAAGCTTGCAAAGTACCTCTCTCTGGTTTTAGTGGAAAAACAGAGCCTTTTACATGAATGATAACTTATATACAATTATGTTAAAGGGCTTTAACTGAATCCAGGGAGGAAAAAAAAAATGTTACATCTAACCCTGTTCAAAGCTACCAAGCCTCTGATTTGGGTTATATATAGCCAAGTCAAAAAATCACATAAATTTCAGCTAAATCATTTTCCTTTCTTACACAGCTTTTCTCAATGGCTAGCCACCGAAAATATGCAAAAGGTCCTAGAATGGAATACTGAAAAATTGACCCTGATGTTTAGTTCAGTGGTTGACTTAAAGAGGTATTCTCTCAAAGAATATGAAACTGAGAAGTACTGGCCATTCTAGGGATGATGTCAGAACACAAACTGGAAAAGAAGAAACCACTCTGAATATACTAAACAAGAGGGAATGAAATGCAAGGAACCAGCTAGACTGATGATGAAACACTCCAGAAAACTACCAGTGAACAGGAGACAATGAGGTCACCTAGAGATTAACAACAGGAAATTCCTGCATTTTCCACCACTAAACTAAAGGGACAAAGTAAGCAGGTGGTTTTCCCAGGGACAAAAGACCAGGATTATCTAGTGGAATCTGCGGCCATGTTCACATTGACTTGCCAGCACATTCTTTCTATATAGGACAGTGATTATAAAATTGTATGTACATAAAAGTTACATGAGCAATTGCTTAAAATGCAGGTTTCCAGTACTCACCGCCAGAGATTCTGTTTCAGTAGAGTCTGATGTAGCAGTATTAATCCCAGGAACATGTAAAACAAATACTCTTGGTGATTTTAATATATGCGGCCCCTGGGTCACATTTGAAAGTGCATCGTTAAGGAGTGATTTTCACGGAAGGCCAAATTATAGCAAAACTGCTATTTGAAAAGAAACCAGCCCAATGTGGGAAGTGATGGAATTAGAAAATGTTCTGAATGCATTAATTTTATGCTTCCATTAATGCCTGGCTCTTCCATTGCTTTTCTCAGACTCCACGCTGATCACATTCTACCTCTCTCAAATGAAACATTTGAACTTAAAGGTATATAATAATTAGGATTCCTTAGATTGCAAGTAATAGAGACAGATTCAAGTTGCCTCAGGATTTTGTATTAAGTTACTGAGCAGTAAAATGAGGAAAAAAAAAACTATTTTAAATGATGGCACAGCTGCTCCTGTGCTCCTGTAAAACTGAGATTGTAAACTATTATTCAGGACATTATAGTTAACATCACTTCACCCAATAGAAGATCTCACGACCTAGTCTTTCTTACACTCTCAGATACATGAGGTTTTGCAACTCTACTTCCTTAGTCACTCTTATGACTCAGATTTCTTATTACTTCCTTCTTTTTGTGTGTCTTTTTCTCTCTAATTCCACATCCTTCTCAAATGATTCATTCTTTGCTAACTCTGAACTTAAAGCTATTTATCTCTTTACATTCAAAGCTCCCCAAAAATGTTGTAATCAAGTAAATGAAATAATGAGATAGTATCCTATATGGAGCCTCTATTGAGCAGAGGTCTCAGATTTGTTTAGGCTCTTCAGCAAGAATCATATTTCAGTCCTGCTTTAAGACTGCATTTCTTATTATTTCTTCACATATTTTTAATGGACAAACACTCAAGTAATTTCAGCACAGGACTAATTTTGCCAATTTAATTTTGAAGTTTTTTTCTAAAGTCCATCTTAAAATTATGAATACTTCACTGTTAAACGCATGTGCTCACCAGATATTCACTACTGAAAATGAATTATCTACTACTCAAATATTTCTACTAAAGATGTTTTCACACTATGATATGTTTGCCTAATCTAACATCGAAGATCATTTATTATTCCAAGGATCTTCCTTAAGATGTTAGCAACTGCTTTACTAAAACATTAATTAATACATACTAATGGTGTCTAAAAGACATGTAGAATATGTATAATCATATATTCTTTCTCCAATAGAATAGCTACCCAAATATTTAAAAGCATCTGTTACGGCTGTAAGTCTTTTTTTTTTTTTTTTTTTTTTTTTTTTTTGAGGGGAAGGTGGGGAGGACAGAGCCTTACTCTGTCACCCAGGTTGGAATGCAGTGACATGATCATGGTTCATTGCAGCCTCGACCTCCTGGCCTCAAGCAATCCTCCCACTTCAGCCTCCCAATTAGCTAGGACTACAAGAATACTCCACCACACCCAGCTAATTTTTATTTTTATTTTGTAGGGATGGGGGTCTCACTATGTTGCCCAGGCTAATCTCAAAGTCTGGCAATCCCCCCAACTCAGCCTCTCAAAACATTGGTAATACAGGCATAAGCCATTGCACCCAGCTCTCTTAAGTTTTTTATCTCCAGGATAAATTCACCAAGTTCCTTTAATCTTTCCTCATCAGTCAGAGTTTTCAGACACTTCTGTTCTGAATATACACTTATTTGCTAATAACTCTGTTACCCTGCGATGTACAGTATTAGAGAAAATATTTCAAGTGTGAATGCCTAGTAGATGGGATGACTAACATTCTTTACATGGACATGATATTTGATTAATACAACTTAATACCATGTCATTAACAATATTGTTAGTGGCATGATCAGGGTGCTGACACATAACTGAATTCGTCATGCTCAACAAAACACAAGACTTTACTATGATAGTACCTTTGTACTAGTTAGTCATTACTTACACAATGATTGTTTTATCATTACTAATAAAGGCATAAATTGGCATTTGTTCCTTTAAAATTTTATAATATTATATTTTATTCTATTAATTTTTGTTAGAATTATCTGAAATTTTAAATCATTTAATTTTAGAACAAAAAAATATGTTTTCATCTGCAGAGCCAAAACAACCAGAATTGACAAGAGAATCTCTATAGTCCAGAGTTATTTGAACTGCCCTATACATCAATTCTGTAGTTCTCCAATTCTATACAGGGGTTGTCTAAATATCATAACTGTAACTAATGAGACTAATTTGGTTTCCAGTTAGCATTCACAGCAACATGCATGCGTCTGGAGGAGGACATTATGTTAAGTAAAAAAGTCAGATACAGAAGGATAAATACTGTATGTTCTCATCCATATGTTGAAGCTAAAAAGAAAAATTTTCTTCATAGAAGTGAAGAATATTATTGTTGTTTTAGAGGCTGGAAAGAGTCGAGGGAGAGGAAGACAGGGAGAGGATGATTAACAGTCAAAGCCATAACTAGATGGGAGGAGTATGTTCTATGTTCTATAGCACTAGGGTGAATAGCTGTAACAATACTTTATTGTGTATTTTTATAAGCTAAAATAGGGGATTTTGAATATTCACAACACTAAGAAACAATAAATATTTATGGTGATAGATATGCCAATTACCCTAATTTAAGTATTACACATTGTACATGTGAATCAGATATCCCTCTGTATCTTATAAATATGTATAGTTACTATATGTCAGCTACAAATAAAAAAAGTGTATGAAGAGAAAAAGACATTAAATGAATATAATATACAGCAAAATAATGGAACAGAATACATGACTCTTGGAACCACAAAATATATAATCTACCATATATCTGGATCACAACAAATGAATGGATAAACATATAGGGCACATAAGCTAATAGTAGCAGCCTTAAAAAGTAAGGACATTCTGAGACATAGATTAATCTTGAAAACATTATGCTAATAAGTGAAATAAGCCAGTCACAAAAGACAAATAATGTACAATTCTATTCATATGAAGTACTTAAAGACATCAAATTCGTGGAGACAGAAAGTAGATAAAGATTGCCAGGGGCTAAGGGTAGCAGGTAATGAGGAGTTGTTTAATGAGTACAGTGCTTTAGTTTTGCTAGATGAAAAATAATCTGTGGACGGATAATGATGGTGATGGTTGCACAACAACATCAATTTACTTAATGCTACTGAACTGTGCAATAAAAATGGTAAAAATGATAAATTTCATGTTACATATTTTTTACCAGAGTTTTCAAATATACTG